CTACTGTCAGCTGGACACCGTCCTATCGGGGATACCTAAGGAGGACAAAATCATCCTCCTGGGGGACTTCACGGCAAGAGTCGGCCGAGACTTCGACCTGTGGCCAGGGACCATAGGAAAAGACGGGGTTGGAAACAGCAACTCAAATGGCATCCTGCTTCTCACCAAATGTGCGGAGCACAACCTTGTCATCACCAACACGCTCTTCCGCCAGAAAAACAAGTTCAAGACATCATGGAAGCACCCCCGGTCAAAGCATTGGCACCTCTTAGACTATGTAATCACACGTGCCAGAGACCGCCGTGACGTGCTCCTCACAAGAGCCATGACAGGTGCTGACGACTGCTGGACTGACCACAGGCTAATTCGATCCTCGATGGCTATCAAGATCCTTCCCAAGCGCAGACTCCAAGGAAGGAAGACAAGGCGCAAAATGAACACCCAAGCCCTTCAGAAGCCCTCCAGACAAGCCCATCTCCAAACAGCACTCAAGGACCATCTACCCACAGTACACCCCGAAAATGTTGAGGAACATTGGAACAAACTGAAGACCTCCATCATCCAAGCCTGCGAAGAAACTATTGGATACCAAGCCAAGAAACATCAAGACTGGTTTGATGAAAATGACATCGAGATCCAACAGCTAATTGACAAGAAAAGGAAAGCCTTCCAAGCATGGCAGAGAGACATCAACTGTGCAGCTAAGAAAAAGATCTATGCCAGTGCAAAAGCTGAGGTCCAAAGGTCCAAGAGAACTCAAGAACATCTGGTGGACAAAGAAGGCCGAAGAAATCCAACACCTGGCAGATACCCATAATGCTCAGGGATTTTTCAAGGCCACAAAGGTCATCTACGGACCAAGAAACCATGGCATACAGCCTCTACGCTCATCAGATGGATCCAAACTCCTGAAGGACCAAAACTCAATTGCACTACGTTGGAAAGAACACTACCAAAGCCTCCTGAACCGCAGCTCCAATGTGGCCGAAGAGGTCCTCTCACAAATCCCACAACAACAAACCAGGGATGAGCTTGCAGCACTGCCCAGTTTGGAAGAAGTCAGCAATGCCATCAGCCAACAGAAAAATTACAAAGCCAGTGGACCAGACGGGATCCCTGCTGAAATCTTTAAAGAGGGAGGACCTGAGCTGACACACCAACCTCCACCAGCTCATAGAAAATGTATGGGTGACCGAGAAAATCCCAGCAGATTTCAAGGATGCCACCATCATCACCCTCTTCAAAAAAGGGGAAAGAACAGACTGCGGAAACTATCGAGGTATCTCCCTTCTAACCTCCTCTGGGAAAATCCTCGCAAGAATCCTTGCAAACCGCCTTCTGCCCCTCTCAGAAGACACCCTCCCAGAATCCCAGAATGGCTTCCGCCCCTCCAGAGGAACCGTGGACATGATCTTCACTGCACGACAGCTCCAAGAAAAATGCAGGGAACAAAATCAACCTCTGTACATGGCATTCATCGACCTTGCAAAGGCATTCGACACAGTGAATCGCAGCGCTCTCTGGACCATCCTCCAAAAAACCGGGTGCCCTAACAAATTTGTGAACATCCGGCTCCTCCATGATGACATGATGGCAACAGTCTTGGACAGCAGTGGCTCCCAAAGTGACCCATTTAAAGTGGAATCCGGTGTCAAACAGGGATGTGTTATTGCCCCAACTCTATTCTCCATCTTCATCGCTATGATACTTCACCTTGTTGATGGGAAGCTTCCCACCGGAGTGGAAATCATCTATCGGACAGATGGCAAGCTATTCAACCTCAGCAGACTGAAAGCCAAAACCAAGGTTACAACAACATCTGTTATAGAACTCCAGTATGCTGATGACAATGTCGTCTGTGCGCATTCAGAAGAAGATCTACAAGCCACTCTAAACACCGTCGCAGAAGCATACGAGAAGCTCGGCCTGTCACTGAACATTGAGAAAACCAAGGTGCTGTTCCAGCAGTCACCAGCCAATCCCTCTCCAATGCCAGATACAGCTTAATGGTGTAACATTAGAAAATGTTGACCATTTCCGCTACCTTGGCAGCCACCTCTCCACCAAAGTCAACATCGACGCCGAAATACAACACCGCCTGAGCTCTGCAAGTGCAGCATTTTCCAGAATGAAGCAGAGAGTGTTTGAGGACCGGGACATCCGTAGGGAGACCAAGGTGCTTGTCTATAAAGCTATTGTCCTCCCAACCCTGCTATATGCCTGTGAGACGTGGACTGTCTACAGACGTCACATGCAACTCCTGGAACGATTCCATCAGCGCTGCCTCCGAAAATCCTGCAAATCTCCTGGGAAGACAAGCGGACAAACGTCAGTGTGCTGGAAGAAGCAAAGACCACCAGCATTGAAGCGATGGTCCTCCAACATCAACTCCGCTGGGCCGGCCACGTTGTCCGGATGCCTGACCACCGTCTCCCAAAGCAGTTGCTCTACTCCGAACTTAAGAACGGAAGAACGTTGGTGGACAGGAAAAGAGATTTAAAGATGGGCTCAAAGCCAACCTTAAAAACTCTGGCATAGACACTGAGAACTGGGAAGCCCTGGCCCTTGAGCGCTCCAGCTGGAGGTCAGCTGTGACCAGCAGTGCTGCAGAATTTGAGGAGGCACGAGTGGAGGGTGAAAGAGAGAAACGTGCCAGGAGGAAGGCGCGTCAAGCCAACCCCGACCGGGACCACCTTCCACCTGGAAACCAATGCCCTCACTGCGGAAGAAGATGCAGAGCAAGAATAGGGCTCCACAGCCACATACGGACCCACAGGGAAATCCATAATGGAAGACCATCTTACTCGTCCAACGAGGGATTGCCTAAGTAAGTAAGTAAGTAAGATGCTTCAAGGCTTATTGCAAATGAGCTGTATTCATATATCTTGGCTTAGTAAGACAAACTATAAACAGCTGAACTTGATCAATGCCAGCGATACTATTTGTTTTTTTAATGCAGGTGAGCAACCAGAGAAAACAATGTAGCTGTAACTCTAATTGTCATTACATTCATTCGTATTTTGTTATTTTCAGAGAATGATGTGTATTCTGTTTATAGTTTCAACATTTATGAAAACTTAGAACAATAAAGTGATATTTTAAAAAGGAGGGGAACAACACAGACTTATTAAAGTGGGTTACCTGTGCCCCATAAACTCGCTGCATTGCTTGAAGCAACTGGTTGGTGTATTCTGTAAGTGTTCCAGCATCTTCTTCAAACACACTCAGTAATGAGCGGGTCTAATGAAAGAAAGGAATAGAAGGTCAATACAAAATTGAACATTTGAGTGAAGAACTGCACACTTCTAAAAAAAAACAACACAACATATACAAATACATATTCTGTATTTTATCAAAGGAAATAATTTCCTACTCTTTTTTGCTTAATGTACACAATGCAGGGGGCCATATACAATTCCATACTACTCTGCATACGCCACACTTTCTGCCTAAACTAGCAAAACTTTGTAGGTTTAGTAACCTTGTCTTATTGAGTGGCTCCAGGAGAATTATTTCATAGTATGCGAATGTTAAATAATTAATGACTACCATGAATTAATCATACAGGATGTAGAAGGATGACTGGAGTCATTTCAAAGAGGGAATGTGGATCTCGTTGAAAACACTACTGGCCCTATTCATATGTCATTCAACTGTCAATATTCAATATGGAAAATGTGTCCCTACATCACCATTCTCTTCACACAAAAAGCAATGAGGCTGAAAAGGAGAAGTAACTAGAATAACAAGTAACTGAGGAAGGAGAGATAATTTATTGGATTAGTGGAATATCTACAATACACAATGATGGTACAGGTTGGGTATCCTTTGAGTAATCCTTATCCAAAAACATTGGGACCATATTTTGTATACTTTCAGGTTTTGAAGTACCTGCATATACACAATGAGATATCTTGGAGAAGGGACCCAAGTCTAAACACAAAATATATTTATGCTTCAAAAACACCACAAACACATGGTCTGAAGGTAGTTCTATGCATAATATTTTGACTCTTTTGAATATTTCATCTTTTGAATTCCAGAAAAGAGCAAATCAACTTGTATTTGATTTCATAGGATGGAGGGCTGGCAATTAAAGTGGCATCAAAGTCTTATAGTTGTGTAGCAGATAGTTGGGAATTGAATTTCCTTTCATGCTATGGTCCTTAGGAAAATCCACTTTCTGAAATTGTTATTTACAGGCAGAAGTGTGCAGCAACAGTGTGATCAAAAGAAGGCAAAATGTTACTCCATACCCTAATTTGCATGTTGGCCTTGGACTGCAATTCCCATCAGCTCTCATCCTTGTTTATGTTGGCTAGGACTGGCAGGAATTGCAATCCAACAGCATTATTACAAATTATTACATGGAGCAATAAGGGCTTCTTCAACTGATGCGATAGGGCAACACTACAAAATCTACTTTGAGAGAATAGAACAGTGCAATGTGTCCACACTACACAGAGTCCTAATACATTGTATCTCTAAAATCCAGAGAAGGAGAATATCCCTGGCTGCATCCTCTGCCAATAACGTTCTATAACTCAAGCTTAAATGCAAGGTGGAAGCTTACATATGCAGCTCTTTAAAGCATTTGTTTCACAAGGCTGTGTTTACTTGATGACAACTCCTGGGAACCTTGTGTCTGAAAGGGAATTTATCCACAAGTCTGTTCTAATCTGAAGTGGCTTCTCATCAGATAATCCAAACGACAGGAGGCTGCTCAGGGTGGGATATGTTTAGGAAAGGGACAGCTGTCAGCTTGTCACTTTTGCTCAGAAATAAGCAGAGCAAGACAGGATAGAATAGGCCTTTGACTTTGGATATCTTTGCTGTTCAAAGGGAATCTATTTCTATCACAATTATCCATTTCGATTTATGTGCACTCACTTTAGTTAATTGGAAAAAATTGTGGGGATAGAAGGGGGTTTTTTTATTTAAAAAAATCTGTTACTTAAGGTAGTTTTCCCCATTATTTTCATAATAACCTCTCAGAAATATTTGGTTTATAACCAAGATCTTTAAATAAAGCATATCCTTAGCAAGTCCCAAAATAAAAATGCTTTCGTCCTCTGGTTTTTGATGACTATTCAGATTTGGAAAGCCTCAAAAATAAGTCCAGTGGTCCCTAACTTGCTACCTTCCTCCTCCTCCTCGTGTTGTTGAAGGTTTTCATGGCAGGAATTTATTTATTTATTTATTTGACTTGTATACCGCCACTCCCAATTTGGCTCGGAGCGGTTTACAGCAGTAGATTAAAACAATACAACCAACTTTAAAATACAATAAAAATGAGAACCTACATAGTCCCGAGTTATTCACCCATCGAAAGCTTGTCGGAAAAGAAAGGTTTTACGGGCTTTCTGAAAAGCAAGTAGCTCGGGTTCGGGTTTCAACTGGCAAGGCATTCCATAAATAAGGGGCCACAATCGAGAAGTCTCTCTGCCTAGTAGAGGATGGATGATAAGTTCGGATGTTGGGAACTTCAAGCAAATTTTGGTCCTCGGATCGAAGTAATCTCTGGGGTTGGTAGGGGGATAAGCAGGCCATCAGGTACGCCGGCCCCAGACCATATAAGGCCTTAAAGGTTAGTACCAGCACCTTGAAAGTAATCCGGTACTCAATCGGAAGCCAGTGCAGCTGTTGTAGAATTGGGGTGATACGGCACCTTGCTGGCACCCCGGCGAGAAGACGAGCCGCCTTATTTTGCACCAGCTTCAGTTTCCGGATCACTGACAAAGGAAGGCCAATGTAGAGGGCATTGCAGTAGTCAAGCCTCGAGATGACCGTCGCCTGGATCACCATAGCCATGTTCCAGAAGCATTCTCTCCTGGTGTTTTGCCTGCGTGTATGGCAGGCATCCTCAGAGGTTGTGAGACTATGCCTGCTATAGATGTGGGTGAAATGTCAGGAGAGAATGCTTCTGGAACATAGCCATACAGCCTGGAAAACTCACAGCAACTTATTATTATTATTATTATTAATTATTACCCTTTTTTATCTCCCCAAAGGGGACTCAAAGTGATTTGACATAAAAGCACTGGTATCCAAATTAAAATATACAAATATACAAACATTAAAGCAGAGTTGAACAGAAAAAGTATTTAAAAATTCAGTTACAATTCATAAAGCATATTCAAAGTTAAAACCACTTGACTGCAATATTCATCATCCCCAGTTAGCACCAGGTCAAGGAAGGTTGAATCACACCCAAATCTTGAACGCAGCTGTTTGACAGAAAATTCTATTATGCCTTGACTGCATTTATTTCTAGATTATAATGTTTACTATAGGAGTGCATGAGTGTCAAATCCAATTCAGATGAGATTAGCCTGATTTTAATTTTCACTTGCTCCTTTTCAGAGGTTACTCTTGAGCCACATTTCACAATTAAAAGGTTGTAGTAATGCTGTGGAAGGGAGTTTAGAGAACCATGTGTAGAATAATTCATACTTTGCTCTTGGGAAAACATGAAGAATATGGCAATTCACATATAGTGGTCTGGGTTGGGGGTTTTTTTTTGGGGGGGGGGGTTAGAAAAAGGAGCCGGTTCTATAGAAGGCAATGCAAAAATAAAGATTTGAACCCTAAACATTTTGAGCCAGACAAGGATAAGAATAATTCAGTCCCAACAGAAAAAAATATACATTTAAACGCTTTGCCACTAAAACTAATAAAAAATTACAATCCAATCCAATTCATGTTCATGCAAAGGAAGTTTTCCATTGTGTTTACACAAAATATCTGTTTCTTTGTTTTCTGTGGGCCACATTTACTGCCATCACCAATGCTGGCCATTCTGTTCAAGAAAAGGGGACTCCACCACACTCTGAAGAAGCCTAATCCATTGTCAAATACCTGTTACCATCAGAAAGTTCTTCCTAAAATTCAGGTGGGAATCTCTTTTCCACAGTTTGAACCCATTGCTCTGTGACTTGGACCCCCCCCCCCTTCCACACAGCTGTATAAAATCAACATTGAACTGGATTATCTGGCAGTATGGACCCAGATAATCCAGTTCACAGCAAATATTATGGATTACCTGCCTTGATATTCTGGGTTATATGGCTGTGTGGAAGGGCCCTTAGTCTCTAGAGTCGCCGGAAGGCTGAGAGGGGCAGTATATAAATACAGTAAATAAATAAATAAATAAATAAAGCAGCCGAAAACAATTCTGTTCCATATTCAGTATTATATCAAATATTTAAACATAGTTATCATGCCACCTCTTTGCTAGTCCCTCATGTTTGTAAGAAACAAATAAAATTCCCATCTGTAGCCTTTCTTTGTTCAGCTGCTCTCAACGTATTGTTGAACTATTAATTCTACAATGCTCTAACAAGTATACATAGGACTTTGAAATTAACATTTACACTTGCAGAGGGAAAAGGCTATGTGCACATATAGTATGACAACAGTAAATTTAAGGTGGGTAAATTGGGATGTATTCTCTTGATGAGGTGGGAATTGGTGATATGTGATAATCTCTGGCCAACACTAATCATGGTAGAGGATTTATGACAGATGAAGAGGAAAAGGGGTATGAAGAATTTGATCTGTGCTTTCTTGGAGAAACAAACAGCATTAAAATGTGTTTCAAAAGCTTTCATGGCCAGAATCACTGGGTTGCTGGGAGTTTTACGGACTGTCTAGCCATATTCCAGAAGCATTCTCTCCTGACGTTTCACCCACATTTATGGCAGTATCCTCAGATGTTGTGAGGTCTGTTGGAAACTAGGCAAGTGGGGTTTATATATCTGTGGAATGTCCAGGGTGGAATATCCAGGCAGGATGTAGCCAGGCTTTGAAGCTGAACAGCTAGATGACCAACTGCAAGGTGACCAACAGACAAGGCTTCTTTCTCCCACCCTGGACATTCCACAGGTATATATACCCCACTTGCCTGGTTTCCAACAGACGTCACAACTCCTTAGGATGCTGCCATAAATGTAGGTGAAATGTCAGGAGAGAATGCTTCTGGAACATGGTGATACAGCCCGGAAAGCTCACAGCAAACCAGCATTGAAATGTTCAAGCTCTACATCAAGGACAGAATAAGCCTTGTATCTATTGGGTTTGGTTCAAAGACCCACCCATGGACACCAACATCCATGGATCTCAAGTCATATTATATACAATGACATAGTAAAATGGCATTCCTTATATAAAGTGGCAAAATTAAGTTTTACTTTTTGGAATTTTAATAGGGAGGATATTTTTCAGCTATGGATAGTGGAATC